CCCTGCCCCCAAACTCCTGCCCCCAAACCCCAAACCCTCCTCACCACGTCGATCTCGGTGTTGGAGTGCCCCATGTTGCAGACGATGCAGCTGTTCTTCATCCTGTCCAGATGTTCCCTGGTCACCACGTTCTTGTTCCCTGCCAGCAGCAGGCCCTGGGTAAATCCCTGTCCCCGGGGTCCCCCGGGCCAGCCGGGGACCCTTTTGGGGCGAGGCTGGCAGTCCCAGCCCGCGGCCCCGTACCTGTGCAGGTGATGACGATGTCCACCTGCCTGATGACCTCGTTGAGCTTCACCAGCCGGAACCCGTCCATGCTGGGAGGGACAGCAGGGACAGAGTGACCCCAGATCCCAACCTCAACCCCCGCAAGGGCCATGGGGAGTTTCTGGGGTCATCCTGGAGGGTCTGGGGCATTTGTGGGGAGAAGCGAGAAGGGATTTTGGGGTTTTCCTGTGTCCTGTCAAGGCTTGCTCATCTGCAAACCTCAACTCTCCACCCTGATGGGGTTTTAGAGCTGTTCCTCCTGCAGGGAACATCCAGGAGCTGTGGATCTGCTCACAATCCAGGTTGGGATGGATTTAGGGCATCCTAAAAAACACCCCAGAGCTGTGGGTGCCTCTCACCACCCCGAAATCCTTATTTAGGCACCTGCAGAGCCCAGAGGCCTGCCCTGCCCTCCCCAGCAAGGTGAGCTCAGGGATAACAAGGGCAGGGAGGGTTTTTTTTGGGATTTGTTGACAATCCTCCCCAGAGCTCCTTCCTGTGCCTCTCACAAGCTGCAGAATTGTAGTTGCTAAAATAAAAATTCATTTTTTTCTGCTGCATGTCCCCATTTCCTGAGCTTTTCCCCACTGCCAGCTCCCCCTGAGAGGAGCCTGGAGCAGGCTCAGGATTGCTGCAAATTCCCAGCTGAGGGTGGATGAAGGGCACAGAGCAGCCCAAAAGTTCATCAGCTCTGCTAATTAGAACTCGTTAGTCCCCTCACCACAACAAGCTGGTGAGGAGCAGGCTGAGGGCTTGGGGGGCTCTGGGTGTTTTGGGATCCACAGCTGGGGATGCACAAGGAGGATCCAAAACCAGCCGGGTCTGGTGAGGGGCTGGGGGGTCACAGGACCCCAAAGACCCCCAGGGTGAGGGGTGGGCACAGCCCTGGGACAGCCAGGGAGCAGCTCGTGCCCAAAACCCCTGCAAGCCACGTCCCAAACCCCTGGCTGCTGTGGGGTGGGGTAAACTGGGAGGTGCTTTAGGGCAGATGGGATAAACCAGGAGGTGTTTTAGGGCAGATGGGATAAATTGGGAGGTGCTTTAGGGCAGGGTCCTTTTCTGGGATAGAACAAATCTGGAGATGTTTTAGGGCAGGGCCTGTCTCATGGGATGGGATAAACTGGGGGATGTTTTAGGGCAGGGCCCTTTTCCTGTAGTGGGATAAACTGGGGGATGTTTTAGGGCAGGGCCCTTTTCATAGGATGGGATAAACCAGGAGATGTTTTAGGGCAGATGGGATAAACCAGGAGGCGCTTTAGGGCAGGGCCCTTTTCCTATAGTGGGATAAACTGGGAGATGTTTTAGGGCAGATGGGATAAACCAGGAGGTGCTTTAGGGCAGGGCTGTTTCCCGGGCTGGGATGAACCAGGAGGTGTTTTAGGGCAGATGGGATGAAGCAGGTGGTGCTTTAGGGCAGATGGGATAATCCAGGAGGTGCCTTAGGGATGTCCCCAGGCCGAGCTGAGGGCAGGGACCCCCAGGAAGGGTTCCAGGGAAGAGGGGGTGCAGCCCTACCAGGCCTGCAGGGCGCAGATGGGGTCGATCTCGGTGACGTAGACGATGGAGCCCATGGCCTTGAGGGCAGCACAGCAGCCCTTGCCCACCTGCAAGGGACACACGGGGGACACTGCAGCCCTGCTGCAGCCTGTCCTGCAGCTGGGCCACCACCCCAGCCCTGCTGGGCCAGCATCCCAGCCCTGCTGCAGCCCAGCTCTGCAGTGCACCACAACGCTGCTCCAGGGAAAGTTCCAGAGCCTCCTGCAGCTTGGGCTGCACTCAGGGAGCTTTGGGGGTAATTAACCTCGGAGGGTTAATGAGCTTTAACCTTTGCCCAGGCAGTGCAGGGAATCCAGGTTAAAATGCTCCCAAAAATGGGATTGCAGCAGGAAAAACAGACCCATTCCAGCTGCTTGGATATGGAAAAAATTCCAGTAGAGCACCCACTGCAAGTGGGGTGAACTGGTCCTGAGAAAAACTGGGAAAAGAGGAATATTCCCATGTGGAGAGAGGGGATAAATCAAGATTAATTCTCTCTTGACCACACTGGAATGCCCAGAACACCTGCAGAACCTCTGATCTTAGTAAAATCAGATTGAATATAATATTAAAATTATAGAAATATGTGTTGTATCAATACGTGGGCATGCCAATATCCAGATATTAAAGATATGCAGAATATTTAATGCATTTTTTTAAAAACATTCAGCTTTGGCATCTCTTTAATAACAAAGAAACGAAGAAAACTTTCAGTTTTTGGCAAACTCCTGAGGTCTGGAGGGTCCTGCAGGTGCAGAGCAAAGACCTGAGGGTGCAGGAAGCTGTGCTGAGGATTTACACGTGGAATTCCCAGTGGGAAAAGGGGAAGATTGGGAAATGGAGCCCCTTACCTCCCCATAGCCACAAACCACCACCTGCTTCCCTCCAAACATCATGTCTGTTGTCCTCTTCAGGCTGAGGAAAAAGGAAAAAAAAAACAATTAAAGGTCAGAATTCCAGCACTAAGAGCTGCTCCAAGGATGGATCCACAGCTGGATCCTGCACCCCTGGAATTCCAGGGGAAGAGAAAACCCCAAAAGCACCTAAAAATTCCCTTTTCCTTCTGGAAGGGTGGGGGTTCTTTTGTTCTTCCAACAAAGAGGATGGAATTTGGGTTTGGAGCCCTTTTTTTGTTGATTTTTATTTATTTACCCTTTGCTTTGACACTCCCAAAATATTGAAAATCCTCTCCAAAAATCCTTTAATCTGAATTTTTATTGTCAGCCCCGAGTGCCCCCCAAGGAAGAGCCCCAGGAGCAGCAGGAGTGGGAATCCTTGCCAGAATCCCAGAGCTTTTCCCAAATGAAGCTCCCCCTTCCCCTGTTCCCTTCTGCTCCCTCCCTGAGCGTGTCCTACATTCCAGGCTATTTTTAGCTCTGGAGTAAATAGGTTAGCAGTGCAGGGAAGGTGAAATTCCCTCCTTTTCCAGGGAAATTCAGCTAAAACCCACAGCAGCTTTGAGGCACCTCTGCTCTCTGACCCCGTCTTCAATTCCTGCACCAGGCTGAACCTGAATTCCAATTTACCCCCAAGGTGTTTCCATGGAATCCTGGGATTTTTTGGGGTTGGAAAGGACCTCAAATCCCATCCCATCCCATCCCAGGGACACCTCCCACTGCCCCAGGTGCTCCAGCCCCAATGTCCAGCCTGGCCTTGGGCACTCCAGGGATCCAGGAGCACCCACAGCTGCTCTGGGAATTCTGTTCCCATATTTCACCCCCCATTATTCCCATTCCTGCTCCCTGTTCCTGGGAAGGGGCTGCAGCACACCCCAAATTCCAGGATTGTTCATGGATTGTGCCACAAACGATGTCACAAGGACAAAACCTGATGGAATTTGGGGTGGAGGGACACGGACACCCAATTCCATGAAAAGAAAGGGAATGAAGAGCTGGAGAGAAAAAAGGGATAGAGGGACAGACATGGGACACAGGGGGATTTTATCAAAGGGGAGAGGGAAGGACAGGAATTCTGACGGGCACCAGAGGCAGGGAAGGATTTTGTTCTCCTCTGACATGAATTGAGCTGAGATGATCCAAATGGCAGCAGAGCAGAGCCCTGTGGGGATTCCTCCCCATTCCCCATGGGAATTCCTCCCCGTTCCTGTGGGAATTCCTCCCCATTCCCCGTGGGAATTCCTCCCTGTTTCCCATGGGAATTCCTCCCCATTCCCCATGGGAATTCCTCCCCATTCCCCGTGGGAATTCCTCTCCATTCCCCGTGGGAATTCCTCCCTGTTCCCCATGTGAATCCCTCCCCATTCCCCATGAGAATTCCTCCCCATTCCCCATAGGAATTCCTCTCCATTCCCCATGGGGATTCCTCCCTGTTTCCCATGGGAATTCCTCCCCATTCCTTGTGGGAATTCCTCCCTGTTCCCCATGTGAATCCCTCCCCGTTCCCCATGAGAATTCCTCTCCATTCCCCATGGGGATTCCTCCCTGTTTCCCATGGGAATCCCTCCCCATTCCCCGTGGGAATTCCTCTCAATTCCCCGTGGGAATCCCTCCCCATTCCCTGTGGGAATCCCTCTCAATTCCCTGTGGGAACCCCTCCCCATTCCCTGTGGGGATCCCTCCCCGTTCCCTGTGGGAATTCCTCCCCGTTCCCTGTGGGGATCCCTCCCCATTCCCTGTGGGGATCCCTCCCCGTTCCCTGTGGGAATTCCTCCCCGTTCCCTGTGGGGATCCCTCCCCATTCCCTGTGGGGATCCCTCCCCGTTCCCTGTGGGAATTCCTCCCCGTTCCCTGTGGGGATCCCTCCCCATTCCCTGTGGGGATCCCTCCCCGTTCCCTGTGGGAATTCCTCCCCGTTCCCTGTGGGGATCCCTCCCCATTCCCTGTGGGGATCCCTCCCCGTTCCCTGTGGGAATTCCTCCCCGTTCCCTGTGGGGATCCCTCCCCATTCCCTGTGGGGATCCCTCCCCGTTCCCCGTGGGAACCCCTCCCCATTCCCCTGTGGACCCCCCCGTTCCCTGGGATCCCCTCACCCGTCCAGGATGGACTCCCTGCAGCAGTAGAGGTTGTCAAACTTCTGCGATTCCTCCCTGTTCCCTGTGGGAACCCCTCCCCGTTCCCTGTGGGAATTCCTCCCAATTCCCCGTGGGGATCCCTCCCCGTTCCCTGTGGGGATCCCTCCCCATTCCCTGTGGGGATCCCTCCCCGTTCCCTGTGGGAACCCCTCCCCATTCCCTGTGGGGATCCCTCCCCGTTCCCTGTGGGAATTCCTCCCCGTTCCCTGTGGGAATTCCTCCCCGTTCCCTGTGGGAATTCCTCCCCGTTCCCTGTGGGGATCCCTCCCCATTCCCTGTGGGGATCCCTCCCCGTTCCCTGTGGGAATTCCTCCCCGTTCCCTGTGGGAATTCCTCCCCGTTCCCTGTGGGAATTCCTCCCCGTTCCCTGTGGGAATTCCTCCCCGTTCCCTGTGGGAATTCCTCCCCGTTCCCTGTGGGGATCCCTCCCCATTCCCTGTGGGAATTCCTCTCAATTCCCTGTGGGAATCCCTCCCCGTTCCCTGTGGGGATCCCTCCCCGTTCCCTGTGGGAATTCCTCCCCGTTCCCATGTGGACCCCCCCGTTCCCTGGGATCCCCTCACCCGTCCAGGATGGACTCCCTGCAGCAGTAGAGGTTGTCAAACTTCTGCTTGGTGACGGAGTCGTTGACGTTCATGGCTGGCACGCAGAGCTTCCCCGCCTTGGAGAGCTGGTACAGCCTGGCATGGAGCCAGGGGTTATCCAGGGAATTCACCCCCACTCAGGGGGCTGGGGATGGAAGGGGCCTCACAGGCCACAGGCCATGGCAGGGGTGGCACTGGGCACTGTGCCAGCGTCCAGCCTGGCCCTGGGCACTGCCGGGATCAGGGGCAGCCCCAGCTGCTCTGGCAATTCCAGCCCAGCGAGCAATTCCTCATGGCCAAGATCCCATCCATGGCTGCCCTCTGGCACTGGCAGCCATTCCCTGGCTCCTGTCCCTTGTCCCCAGTCCCTCTGCAGCTCTCCTGGAGCCCCTTTGGGCCCTGGAATGTGCTGGAAGCTCTCCCTGGATCCTTCTCCTCTCCAGCATCCCCCTGCTCTCAGCTCTGGGCACACTCAACTCCCCCACAGCAGGAAAATCACTAAAAATGAATTTAAACACCTCACTGTGGCTCTTCTTCCAAGAGAGTCTGAAAATCCTGTTCCTGCTCCAGCCCTTGGGAAGAAGAATCTGCCTTTGGGAATCTCTTCTTCCCACACTGGGATTTCAGATCCTAAAAATATCACCAGTCCTTCTCCTGACCCCACTGGTGCAGGGCTGGAGCCACTTCCCCGTTTCACACATTTCATTTCCCTGCTCCAGGGGCTGCCTGAACCTCTGGCCAAGCCCTGATCCAGCCCAGAGCTGCTCTCCTCAGTTCCCTGCTCCCTGGCACTGTGATGGGATGAACTCCATGGAAAAGCTCCTGTGACACCTCCCAACCCCCAGAGCTGCTCCCACCCCAGCTCTGCTCCTGCCAGGGACTGAGGGATTTCACTCTCTCATCTCTGAGCTTCTCCCTTTCCCCAAAACCAGCTCAGTTCCTCTTCCCAAATCTCACTTCTTCCCACAGGTGCAGGGCAGGGCTCTTGGCTCCCTGCTCAGCCCTCGTGCTCCATCTCAGAGGAGGTGAGAGCCTCTCCTCCCACCCTCAGCAGGGGCTCCTGCTCCTCCTGGAGCTCAGAGCAGCTCCAGGTGTCCTGCCCAGAGAGATTCCATGCAAAGCCAGGCCTGAGGGAAAAGCCCAGCTCTGGGCACTGAGTTTTGTCCCAAACCTGTGGACGCCGGTGACGCTCTCCTCCACAATGCCCTTGATCTTCTTGAACATGTTGGGGTATTTCTTGTAGATCCAGTGGGTGAGATCTCCTCCATCATCCAGGATCTGGAATAAAAACAGCCACGGAGTCACCCGGGGCAGGGCAGGGAGCCACTGCTGGAATGAAAACACTGGAGGAGAGGAAAACTCTGGGGAAATGCCTTGGGAAGGGCAGGCAGGAAAACAACTCAGTCCCAGAAGTGTCAGAATTCCAGGGAAAAGAGAGGCCCAAAGCTTGGCCAGTTTTATGTGTGTGGGAACACCTGGAGTGGCACCCAGGGGAGGAGCTGGCTCAGAGGGCTCCCCTGGAGAAGAAAAGGTCCAAGGAAAGGAAAAAAAAACCAAAATGTGGATTTTGCCAAGTCCTCCTGCCCTCAGGAGGCCCCGGTGGCCTGGGCAAGGTGGGAAGTGTGAGAACCCTGCTGGATTCCAGGGAAAACAGGGAGCAGATGTCACCCAGGGCAGGGGAGTGTCTGGGGGCTGCACAGGGTGACAGCAACATGGCCACCATCAGCCTCAGAGTCACCACCAATCATCACCACCATCACCCTTGCACATTCCTTACAACAAAATCAAAGACTTCTCCCTGCATCCTCCTCCTCCTCTTTCCATATTCCATATACCGAGATCAAAGACTTCTCACTTCATCATCATCATCATCCTCCTCATCCTTGCATATGCCACGCACTGAAGTCAAAACTTTTCACTGCATCATCACCATCATCATCATCATCATCCATGCACATTCCTTACTACAAAATCAAAGACTTCTCCCTGCATCATCCTCCTCCTCCTCCTCCTTCTTCTTCTCCTCCTCCTCTTTCCATATTCCATATACCGAGAGCAAAGACTTCTCACTTCATCATCACCATCATCATCTTCATCCTCTTCTTTGCATGTCCCCTACTCCAATGCAAGGAATTCTGATTGCATCCTCATCCTCATCCTCATGCTCATGCTCATCCTTGCATATTCAATGCACTGATGTCAAAGACTTCTCACTACATCATTGTCCTCATTCTCCTCAAAGATTTCTCACTTCATCATCACCACCACCATCATCATCACCACCACCACCACCATCATCACCTGCTCCATCCCTTCCCACGGGACACAGGAGAGGGTTCAGGGATCGCTGCTCTCACAGCCCTGCCCTGAAGCATCTCCCATCCCACAGCAGCCAGGAGTTCAAGGGCGTGGCTTGCAGGGATTTGGGGAATCTGGCTGTCCCAAATTCCCATCCCTGGGTGGAAGTGTCCCCGTTTCCCGTGTGCTGCAGCTGGAGCTCGGCAGGGACCCCCGGAGCATTCCCAGGAAAGGAACTCTCCCTGTCCTGGCACAGAGGTGACACTGGCCAGCTCTCTGGTGGCTTTGTGCAGCCAGCACGCTGCCATGCGGGGCCACAGCTCCTCTGCTCCCACTTTTCCAGAACGGTGGAATTTCCTCTGCTGGGGAGCAGCTGCTCCTGCAGAGCTCCTGCCAGCACTGGGTGTCCTCCAGGCAATCCATCCCCGGGCTGGAAAGGGTTAAATGGAACCGGGAGCTCTCCTGGGCCAGCCAGGAGGAATTTGGAATTCAGAATCTGGAATTCCCTGGCTCCCAGGACTCCTGGTGTCATTAATCCTGTTTAATCCTCCTCCAATGCAGCCCTTGGCAGGTTCCCTTTCCCAGGGGAGCGGGGCACGGAAACCCCACAGAGGAGATCCCTGGAGGGGTTGGGAGTCACCTTGGTGTGGCACCCCAACATCCCACAGCCCATCCCACATTCCTGCAGTTTTCCCAGTTTTGGCAGGTTTGGCCTCGTTCCCGTTCTTCCAGCCAGGTTTGGGTTGGTTTCCTTTTTGGGAAAAAACATTTTATTTGAGATGGAAATAATTTTTCCTAGAGAAAAGCAGCCTTGGCAGTTCTGGAGCTTCTCTCCAGGTCACCAAGTCCCTCCCTCAGCCCTGCCATCCAATGTTTCCTCCAGCAGAAAATCCCTGGAGAGGCTCTTCCATGAGGGAAGCATCACAGATTCCAAATTTTCAGGGAAAAAAAAATCCCTTTTCTGAACCAGAAGGAGCCTTCTCCTGAAGGTCAGAATTGCCAGAGCCCTCCATGAAGGATTGCCAGAATGGAATGGCCATGAACTGGCCCCATGTCCAAGCAAAACGTGGGAAAATTGAGGGTGGCACAGAATTCCCAGAGCAGCTGGGGCTGCCCTGGATCCCTGGAATGTCCAGGGCCAGGCTGGACACGGGGGCTGGAGCACCTGGGACAGTGGGAGGTGTCCCTGGGAATGGGATGGGACTGAAATCCCTCCCAACACAAACCATTCCATAATTGATGACTTAAAGATCCTTCTCACACCCTGCTCCTCGCCCAGTGCTCTTTCTCATCCCTAAAACCATTTATAATCATTTCTTATCTCTGAAAGCACAGATCTCCAAAATCCAGCAAAATCTCTGGGAACAGCTCCAAGATCCTGGTGCTCCCTCCATCATTTCCATGCTCCAGGAGCTGGTCTGAAACAGTCCCAGAATGCAGAGATCCCAGGGAAGCAGAATCCACATTTTCCTGGATGCTGACTTGCTCCAAAAGTGACATTTTGGATGGGAAATGATTCCTCAAAGAGCAGAACAAAGCTGCTCTCAGGTCTAGACTCAGTCTGATACCTCGGGGGTGGATTTTTCTGACATTCCTGGTTCTTTTTAAAGGTGACAGCGACTGCAAGGGACAAAAATCCCACCTCAAACGAGCCAATATTGGAAAAACCCAACTCAGATCCAAGTTTCCACCTTTGATCACGTCTCATATTTAGATCAGGAGCTCCAGGGCTCCAAATCCTTGGGGAAATGTGATGAAAACAGCACATCTGACAGCTGAAAATTATTCTGCTCACCCAGTTCCAGGTTCCTGTTTTCCCTGGAAACAAGGGCGGGATAAAAAGGGATAAAAACCTGAGGTTTGTGTGGTTTAAAGCGTGGAAATCACACAAAAATCTGGGCTTTGTTCCCAAAAATCACCTCAGCCAAAGGTGAGAATTTAAGGGTGAAAAACTCTTCTCAAAAAATACTGATTTGGAGCCATTTTTAGCAGTTTAAACTGCAGCAAGGTGCTCTGAAATCAAACCAAACACCCCAAAAAACTGCATGAACGCAGCTTATTTGGAAGCACTGAAAGCAAACCTCACTTGGTGAGATCCAGGAGATTCCAGCTGCCTCTCCCTTCCCTCTCCAGGTGGGATTTTTCCAGGGGGGATTTTCCAGGGGGGATTTTCCAGGGGGGATTTTCCAGGTGTTTCCCAACTCACCATGTTGGGCTGCCAGCCCTCGACGTTGACGCAGCGGTCGATGCACCACCAGAAATCATCCTCGGATTCTCCCTTCCAGGCAAACACAGGGAACCCTGAACAGGGAGGGACAGGGGGTTAAGGCAGGAAAATCCCATGGGATCAGCTCTGGGACACTGATTTATTAATGCACATGTTCATTGATTTGAATATAATCAATTATTATTCAGCTTCAGACAGGAAGACCCACTTGTGTTTGGCTTCTTCTGGGTGTGATCAAACCTGTGGCTTCAGCCAGGTGAATTCCATGACTTTATCTGGATAAAATCCTTGGGCTTACTCAGGTAAAGCCCTGGACTTATCCAGGTAAAATCCCTGGACCTGCCCAGGTAAACTCCCTGGATTTATTCAGGTAAAACCCTTGGATTTATCCAAGTAAAATCCTTGGCTTCCCCCAGGTAAAACCCTTGGTCTTACCCAGGCAAAATTTCTGGTTTTACCCAGGTAAAATCCCTGGCATTACCCAGCTAAAACCCCTGGATTTATCCAGGTAAAATCCCTGGATTTATCCAAGTAAAATCCTTGGCTTCATCCAGGTAAAACCTTTGGTCTTCTCAATGTAAAATCCCTGGCCTTATCCAGATAAAATCCTTGGCCTTTCCCAGTAAAACCCTTGGTTTTATCCAGGCAAAATCTCTGGTTTTACCCAGGTAAAATCCTTGGCCTTACCCAGGTAAAACCCCTGGCCTTGCCCAGGTAAAATCCCTGGATTTATCCAAGTAAAATCCTTGGCATTACCCAGGTAAAACCCTTGGATTTACCCAGGCAAAACCCCTGGTCTTATCCAGGTGAAACTCTTGGTCATTCCATGTAAAATCCTTGTTTTTGCCCAGGTAAAATCCCTGTCATTACCCAGGTAAAATTCCTGGATTTATCCAGGTAAAACTATTGGATTTACCTGAGTAAAATCCCTGCTCTTATGCAGGTAAAATCCCTGGATTTATCCAGGTAAAATCGCCAGTTTTACCCAGGTAAAATCCTTGGCATTACCCAGGTAAAACCCTTGGATTTATCCAGGTAAAATCCTTGGCCTCACCCATGTAAAATCCCTGGTCTTACCCAGGTAAAACCCCTGGATTTATCCAGATAAAATCCTTGGCACTACCCAGGTAAAACCCTTGGATTTATCCAGGTAAAATCCTTGGCCTCACCCATGTAAAATCCCTGGTCTTACCCAGGTAAAATCCTTGGCATTACCCAGGTAAAACCCTTGGATTTATCCAGGTAAAATCCTTGGCCTCACCCATGTAAAATCCCTGGTCTTACCCAGGTAAAACCCCTGGATTTATCCAGGTAAAATCCTTGGCCTCACCCATGTAAAATCCCTGGTCTTACCCAGGTAAAATCCTTGGCACTACCCAGGTAAATCTCCTGACTTTGTCAAGTTAAATCCTGACTGTATCCAGGTAAAATCCTTGGGCTTTCCCAGGTAAAACCTCTGGTATTTTCCACGTAAAATCCCTGGATTTACTCAGGTAAAATCCTTGGATTTACCCAGGTAAAATCTTTGGTCCTACCCAGGTAAAACCCTTGAACTTAGCCAGGTAAAATCCCTGACCTTATCCAAGTGAAACTCTTGGTCTTTTCCATGTAAAATCCCTGGATTTACCCAGGTAAAATTCTGGTTTTAGGGAAAACAATTGGATTTAGCCAGGTAAAGAGTCTGGACATGCCCAGGATTTCCCTGGTAACCCCCACACCCTCAGTTTCTGCCCTGTGAATTCCCCCCAAATGCTCTCTTTCACCTGAGTTGTGCCCCAAATTACAGAATTTAACCCAAATTTAGCTTCGTTTCTCTGAGCAAAACAACTTCCAGCTTCAGCTCTTGAATGACATTTTTACCAAGGACTTTACCTGGGCAAGACCAAAGATTTTACCTGGATAAGTCCAGGGGTTTTACCTGGATAAGTAGGAAAAAAACCCAAAACATTCCAAGAGTTCCAGAGCTTTGGCAAGGGGAGATTTTGTGCTGTGGGTTTACTCTAAACTGAAGAGAATGCAGAGGAAAAAAACTCCAAGGGGTGATAAATGAGCTAAAAACCATGGGGCAGCAAAAATTCCCTAGAAAATGCAGGAGGAATTCCTCATAGAATGCAGGAGGAATTCCTTACAAAATCCAGGAGAAATTCTATATAAAATCCAGTAGAAATTCCCTATAAATCCAGAATAAATTCCCTATAAAATGCAGGAGGAATTCCCTATAAATCTAGGAGAAATTATCTAAAAAATCCAGAATAAATTCCCTATAAAGTCCAGAAGGAATTCCCTATAAAGTCTAGTAGAAATTCCCTACAAAACCCAGTAGGAATTCCCTATAAAATCTAGGAGAAATTCTCTATAAAATCCAGAATAAATTCCCTATAAAAACCCAGTAGGAATTCCCTATAAAATCCAGTAGGAATTCCCTATAAAATCTAGGAGAAAATCTCTATAAAATCTAGAATAAATTCCCTATAAAGTCCAGGAGGAATTCCCCATAAAACCCAGGAGGAATTCTCTATAAATCCAGAATAAATTTCCTATAAATCCAGAATAAATTCCCTATAAAATGCAGGAGGAATTCCCTATAAATCTAGGAGAAATTATCTAAAAAATCCAGAATAAATTCCCTATAAAGTCCAGGAGAAACTTTCTATAAAACCCAGGAGGAATTTTCTATAAAACCCAGGAGGAATTCCCTATAAAATCCAGAATAAATTCCCCATGAATCCAGAATAAATTCCCTATAAATCCAGAATAAATTCCCCATAAAACCCAGGAGCAATTCCCTATAAAACTCAGGAGGAATTCCGTATAAAACCCAGGAGGGATTCCCTATAAATCCAGAATAAATTCCCTATACACCCAGAATAAATTCCCTATAAATCCAGAACAAATTCCCCATACATCCAGAACAAATTCCCCATAAATCCAGAATGAATTCCCCACAAAACCCAGCAGGAATTCCCGTCAGGCAGGATCAGGAGTGCAGCCGTACCGCTCTCGGCCAGGGCAGCGGCCACCTCGTTGAGGGTGGAGTAGATGTTGCAGGCGGCCCAGCGGCACTGCGCGCCCAGCGCGCCCAGCGTCTCCATCAGCACCTGCGGGAAATCACCGGGAAAATCGGGAAAATGGGATTTATCTGTGAGAACACGGGGAAATGGGGATTGATCTGTGAAAACACCAGGGAATCAGTAGATGGTGCAGGCGGCGCCCCCAGCGTCTCCATCAGCACCTGCAGGAAAATGGGATTGATCTGTGAGAACACGGGGAAATGGGGATTTATCTGTGAAAACATCAGGGAATCAGTAGATGGTGCAGGCGGCGCCTACAGCGGGGATCAGCAAAATCGGGGGATTTATCTCTGAAAACACCAGGGAAATGGGGAAAATGGGGATTTTATCTGCAAAAACACCACGGAAATCAGCACAGGAACACCAGGAAAACCAGGAAAATGGGGGGGTTTATCTGCAAAAACACCACAGAAATCAGCAAAATCAGGGGATTTTATCTGCAAAAACACCATGGAAATAAGGAAAATCGGGGGGTTTATCTGTGAAAACACCACGGAAATCTGCACAGAAACTGCAGGAAAACCAGGAAAATGGGGGGGTTTATCTGCAAAAACACCACGGAAATAAGGAAAACCGGGGGGTTTATCTGTGAAAACACCAGGGAAATCAGCACAGAAACAGCAGGAAAACCAGGAAAATGGGGGGGTTTATCTGCAAAAACACAGGGAAATGGGGATTTATCAGTGAAAACACTGCAGAAATCAGAGAAATGGGGATTTTATCTGCAAAAACACCACAGAAATCAGGAAAATCAGGGGTCAGTTTAGGGGATGGCCACTGGGAATGCCCTGTTTGGGGTCAGTTCAGGGGATGAGCACTGGGAATGCCGTTTGGGGTCAGTTTAAGGGATGGCCACTGAGAATGCCCTGTTTGGGGTCAATTTTAGGGATGAGCACTGGAACTGCCCTGTTTGGGGTCAGTTCAGGGGATGACCACTGGGAATGCTCCATTTGGGGTCAGTTTAGGGGATGAGCACTGGGAATGCTCCATTTGGGGTCAGTTCAGGGGATGACCGCTGGGAATGCTCCATTTGGGGTCAGTTTAGGGGAGGGGCACTGGGAATGCCCTGTTTGGGGTCAATTTTAGGGATGAGCACTGGGACTGCCCAGTCTGGCGTCAGTTTTATGGGATGGCCACCGGCAATGCCCAGTTTGGTGTCAGTTTTAGGGGATGGCCACTGGCAATGCCCAGTTTGGGGTATGGGCAGTGGCAATGCTCCCTTTGGGGTCAGTTTTATGGGATGAGCACCGGCAATGCCCAGTTTGGGGTCAGTTTATGGGATGGCCACCGGCAATGCCCAGTTTGGTGTCAGTTTTAGGGGATGGCCACTGGCAATGCCCAGTTTGGGGTATGGGCAGTGGGAATGCCCGGTTTGGGGTCAGTTTATGGGATGGTCACTTGCAATGCCCGGTTTGGGGTGTGGGCACTGGGAATGCCCAGTTTGGGGTCAGTTTATGGGATGGCCACCGGCAGTGCCCGGTTTGGGGTCAGTTTATGGGATGGCCACCGGCAGTGCCCGGTTTGGGGTCAGTTTATGGGATGGTTAAGGGATGGCCACTGAGAATGCCCTGTTTGGGGTCAATTTTAGGGATGAGCACTGGGACTGCCCTGTTTGGGGTCAGTTCAGGGGATGACCACTGGGAATGCTCCATTTGGGGTCAGTTTTAGGGGAGGGGCACTGGGAATGCCCTGTTTGGGGTCAATTTTAGGGATGAGCACTGGGACTGCCCAGTCTGGCGTCAGTTTTATGGGATGGCCACCGGCAATGCCCAGTTTGGTGTCAGTTTTATGGGATGGCCACTGGCAATGCCCAGTTTGGGGTCAGTGTAGGGGATGGTCACTGGCAATGCCCAGTTTGGTGTATGGGCAGTGGGAATGCCCAGTTTGGGGTCAGTTTTATGGGATGGTCACTGGCAATGCCCGGTTTGGGGTGTGGGCACTGGGAATGCCCAGTTTGGGGTCAGTTTATGGGATGGCCACTGGCTATGCCCGGTTTGGGTTTGGGGCCGGCTCTCACCGCTGTCTGAGCTGTGATGTGGGTGCAGCCCACGATCTTGGCCCCCGCCAGGGGTTTCTCCCCCTGAGCTCTCTTCCTCAGGGCCATCAGCGCCGGCATCTCTGCAGGAAAACAAAAAGGAAATGGGAATGGGGTGGGGAGAGCCCAGGAGGAACAGCCCCACTGCCTGGCATTCCCATAAACTCACCCAGCTCCAAAACAGCCAAAGCCTCCAGAGCAACACATCAAAATCCCCAAATCCCAAACACATCAGAATCCCCAAACCCATAGTACCCGGTTTGGGGTCAGTTTATGGGATGGGCACTGACAATGCCAGGTCTGGGGTCAGTTTATGGGATGGCCACCGGCAGTGCCCAGTTTGGGGTCAGTTTTATGGGATGGCCACCGGCAGTGCCCGGTTTGGGGTCAGTTTATGGGATGGCCACTGGCAATGCTCGGTTTGGGGTCAGTTTTACGGGATGGGCACTGACAATGCCAGGTTTGGGGTCAGTTTATGGGATGGCCGCCGGCAGTGCCCAGTTTGGGGTCAGTTTTATGGGATGGCCACTGGCAGTGCCCGGTTTGGGGTCAGTTTATGGGATGGCCACTGGCAGTGCCCAGTTTGGGGTATGGGCAGTGGGAATGCCCAGTTTGGGGTCAGTTTATGGGATGGCCACTGGCTATGCCCGGTTTGGGTTTGGGGCCGGCTCTCACCGCTGTCTGAGCTGTGATGTGGGTGCAGCCCACGATCTTGGCCCCCGCCAGGGGTTTCTCCCCCTGAGCTCTCTTCCTCAGGGCCATCAGCGCCGGCATCTCTGCAGGAAAACAAAAAGGAAATGGGAATGGGGTGGGGAGAGCCCAGGAGGAACAGCCCCACTGCCTGGCATTCCCATAAACTCACCCAGCTCCAAAACAGCCAAAGCCTCCAGAGCAACACATCAAAATCCCCAAATCCCAAACACATCAGAATCCCCAAACCCATCAAAGTCCCAAAATCCCAAACCCATCAAAATTCTCAGATCCCAAACACATCAAAATTCCCAGATCCCAAACACATCAAAATCTCCAAATCCCTCTGGATTTTTCCCTATTTTGTTCAAATTTCTGGCCCCTGCTGAGGCTGCAGGAAAATCTGCTTTGGGCTGAGGATTTGGGATTTGCTGATTTGCTCCACCTCTCCAATACCCAAACCCTGCCTGGCCTTTGCTGTTTTTATTTTTTGGAGGTAACCAAGATAAACCAAAATTCTGAAGTTTATGGGATGGGTTTCATCTTTTCTACTGATTTAACAAAATAAATATTCAACCATAGAATGGTCCTTTAGTGGTTGGAACTACACAGCTCTAACTCCTTTCCCATCCCCAAAATCCCACAGAAGCTTTTCCAGCCCCCAAAACCCCCCAGGAGCTTTCCCAACCCCCAAAACCCCCCAGGAGCTTTCCTAACCCCCAAAATCCCATAGAACCCTTCCCAACCCCCAAAATCCCATAGAACCTTTCCCAACCCCAAACCCCCCAGAACCTTTCCCTTTGCCCCGAGCCGGGCAGGGGCTGTGGGGCAGGCAGAGCCCCCAGGAGCAGGGGAGCAGCCCCCTCACCCCTCACCCTGCTCGGCGATCTCGATCTCGCGCCGCCCGAACTCGGCCTGTTTGATGTTCTTCACGCAGAAGTCGCTGCTGCCCTTGGAGTTCTTCTGCTGCTTGTCCCTTGGGGAGGTCTCGTCGTCCGAGCTGTCCGTGTAGGAGGCGGCTGCAGGGAGCAGGGCAGGTCAGGAACGGGGTAAAACATTCCCCAAGTCCCCAGGACCCACACGGGAGGGGGTGGGTGGCCCACAGAGGGTGTCCATGGATGTTCTTCCAGCCCAGCCCCTTCCATCCCCAGCTGGGATCTCTCCTTCTCCTCACAAGGGGCACTTCCCCAGCTGGATTTACCTGGGGTGGATTTTTAATTCTCATCGACCTCTACTTCAGCACCACAGCAGAGGTGATGGGATGGAGCACTGCCTGGTTCCCACACGGGCTCATCTCCATGGCCTTCTCCTACCTCTCTTCCCAAAGTTCTCCCACCCACCTCTCTTCCCTAAAGTTCTGCCACATCTCTTCCCAACTGTTCTCCCACCTCTCTTCCCAACTGTTCTCCCACCTCTCTTCTCCAAAGTTCTCCCACCCACCTCTCTTCCCCAGAGCTCTCCCAGCCCTCTTCCCCAAAGTTCTCTCACATCTCTTCCCCAAATCTTTCCCACCTCTCTTCCCAAACGTTCTCCCACCTCTCTTTCCAAAGTTCTCCCACCTCTCTTTCCAAAGTTCTCCCACCTCTCTTCCCCAAAGCTCTCCCACCTCTCTTTCCCAAAATTCCTTCACCTCTCTTCCCAAACGTTCTCCCACCTCTCTTCTCCAAAATTCCCCCACCTCTCTTCCCCGAAGTTCTCCCACCTCTCTTTCCCATCCACCTCTCTTCCCAAAGTTCTCCCACCTCTCTTCCCAAAGTTCTCCCACCTCTCTTTCCCAAAATTCCTCCACCTCTCTTCCCAAACGTTCTCCCACCTCTCTTCCCGGAACTCAGGCCTCCACAGCTCCAACCCATCCCACAAATGCCTGCTGAGGTCTGGAGCACTTCCAAGCCAGTAGGGATTGCAATTTCAGACCCTATTTCATCCCAAACATCAGGGGGAGGGTGGGAGTTGATGATTATCCCGTTCCTGTGGGATTCCCAGTCCTTGGATTGGCTCCAGTTTGGTGTTCCGTCACACTGACGATGAGCTGCTGCTTGGGAGGCACATGTGGGGTGGATAGAAGGAACTTCTCCATCAGGAGGACAACACGAACCTGGTGTGGATTGTCCAGGGAGCTGCTGGCTCCCCATCTCAGGGGATTTTGGGAATTGTTCGGAAAGCCGGGGATCACCGGATCCTGTCCTGAGCCCCACGGGATGGGAGTAAGGCTCTGCCTTAAGAGGGTGTGGATGTGCTGAATCCATTCCAGGAGCTCTCAGTAATTGTCCTCCTTCCTTATCAGTGTCCTCAGAACCTCTGATTATGGAATTAGACCACGGCAGACACATGGAAGAGCCCTTCATGGAGTTAGGAATCCCACTGGATTCCTAAGATCCCATGTACTTGAATAAAATCACATCCAGTTTTGATTTGAGTCGTGATGGATCAACCACCACTTTGGATCAGCTGAAGGAATCCTTTGTGCCACATTTTCTGGAATTCAGATTTCAGGTTGTGCCACTTTTTTGGATTCTCTGGAATCCTTCCCTACTGTGGGAAACCAAACCTCTTCTTCCATCTTCCAGGACTGGCACCAGCAGCCAGAGAAATGCAATGAGCTCCAAATCCCAGCTCCTCTTTCCTCTCCAGGTGACCCTTCCAGGATTCAACTGATCCAGACAGCCATTCCCTCATTCCTCGTGCTATTGTTCTGCTCCAAGTCCTTCCTCTCCAGGTGACCCTTCCAGGACTCAACTGATCCAGACAGCCATTCCCTCATTCCTCATGGAATTGTTCTGCTCCAAGTCCTTCCTCTCCAGGTGACCCTTCCAGGACCCAACTGGCCATTCCCTCATTCCTCGTGCTATTGTTCTGCTCCAAGACCTTCCTCTCCAGGTGACCTTTCCAGGACCCAACTGATCCAGACAGCCATTCCCTCATTCCTCATGGAATTGTTCTGCTCCAAGTCCTTCCTCTCCAGGTGACCTTTCCAGGACCCAACTGATCCAGACAGCCATTCCCTCATTCCTCGTGCTATTGTTCTGCTCCAAGACCTTCCTCTCCAGGTGACCCTTCCAGGACCCAACTGGCCATTCCCTCATTCCTTAAGGAATTGTTCTGCTCCAAGCCCTTCCTCTCCAGGTGACCCTTCCAGGACCCAACTGGCCATTCCCTCATTCCTTAAGGAATTGTTCTGCTCCAGGTCCTTCCCCTCCAGCTCATGTGGTGCTTGCAAACTGAACCTGGGGCCTGGCAACCAAGGATTTTGTGTCCATCCCAGAGGAATTCCGTGGTGGAACAGCTCCATCCATGATGGCCCCGGTGGAGTTGGCCGATATTTTGGATCTCTGGGAATGATGGACACGGTGATGGACACTCCTCCTTCCACATCCCCACAGGCCTCTGGAACCCACGGGAGCTGCTCCAGCCAACAGTCAAGATTCCTGGTTTCCACCCCAAACGTGCACCAGGGGAATGGGGCAGCAGAAGGGGGGAGGTTCCCACAGTGCTGATCCCAGCAGCGTTCCCAGAGAGCCACGGCATTCCAGTGGCATCCAGGCCTTGAGTGGGGATGGAATCCAACAGCTTCTTCATCCACTCAGAGTAAATCCACCAATCTTCTACCCTGATCAGCTCCAGCGACATTTCCACCCAAAAACCCAAAAAAGGAGTTAAACTGGCCATGGGGTTGTGTCTCCTGCAGGACCCCACAAGCTCAAGCTTCCCCTCCTGGCTCGCGGGAAGGTTTCGGGATTCCAAGGAAACAGCTCAGCCCGGGCGCCGTGGCTGTGCCAGGCTGCCATCCCGGGGAATTGGGAGGGAATTAGGCACTGCTGGAACTCCTCCCCATCCTCGGCAGGGCGTGAAGGGCGAGTCCCACCCTGCCAAGCACCCCCGAGGGCAGCGGGGTCCCGCTCTGCTCCCCATCCCACAGCAGATCCCGAGGTCAGGAGCCTGGATTAACCACAGAGGGCACCTTATGTAAAACCAAGCTCCATGGCAAGGGCTCCAGGAGGAAGGATTAATTAGTTGGAGGAGGATTAGTTCCTTGAAGAGAGTTAATCTGTGTGGAGGTTGATTTAAAACCAGGGAGTTTTGGTTCTGGGGGTGAAAAATAATTTTTTTGAACAAAAAAACCCCAAACACTGCCTGGAGTCACCAGATTTTCATAAGCAGTAGGTTTTATACTAAATAAATAAAATTATAATAAATCTAAATATAAATAAATCTAAATATTAAATAAATCTAAAATATAGAAGTACACATATAATTACGGTAATTAAATGAATGCTGATAGTTAATATAACAGCGAACCAAATCTCTAGAAGTCAATTTTGCCTTTGCTTTTCTGTAAAATGAAAACAAGGACTGAAAGGAAAGGATTCCTGTCATTAATTGATGGGACAGTTTCATAAAAATGTTCTCCAAAATTGATTAATGGAAATTTCCTCCCTGGCTTGGCATTCTGTGAGCTATGGAAAGCTGAAACATAAATTGGATTATTTGTGTTGTGTTTGTATCTCCATCCAGAGGGTTGAGGATTCCACATCCCTGGAAGTGTCCAAGGTTGGAGAAGGCTTGGAGCAGCCCGGGACAGTGGGAGGTGTCCCTGTCCATGGCTGGGGTGGCACTGGGTGGACTTTGCGGTCCCTTCCCCCCAAACCATTCCAGGATTCCATCATTTCCATTATCAATGTATTACATGCAGATTATTGGGCTCCAGGATCCATGTGGGTCCTTCCCAACTCATGGTGTTCCACAATTCCGTGGTTTCCAAGAGAACAACACAAAAGCAGCAGGTCTCAGGTGACCTCCATCCGTGTCCTGCCCCAGCAAAGCCCAGGCCAGAGCCTAAACTCAGCCAAGTCTGGCTTTGCTGATATCTGAGGTAAGGGTCCACTCATGGCTGTCTGAATTGGCATCACAAAGGGAGAAAAGGGGCAGCTTGAGCCTGTTACAGGCCCCAAAACTGGTTTATTCCCTGTAAAACCTTCCAAAAATGTGAAACAGCACCAGCATGAGGTCAGAGACCTGGAATTCCAGATATCCCTGTCCTAATCCCACCCTCAAAACATGGTGGGTAACACACAATGACGAGCACTTGGGTCATCCAGGCTGGGCTGACCTAAAAAATCCATCCATCCATCATCCATCCATCCATCCATCATCCATCCGTCCATCCATCCATCATCCATCCATCCATCCATCCATCCATCCATCCATCCATCATCCATCCATCCATCATCCACCCATCATCCATCCATAATCCATCCATCCGTCCATCCGACCGTCCATCCGTCCATCCATCCGTCCATCCATCATCCATCCATCATCCCTCATCCATCCATCCATCCCTCATCCATCCATCCCTCCATCCATCCATCCATCCATCCGTCCATCCATCCATCCATCCGTCCATCCATCCATCCATCCGTCCATCCATCCATCCATCCGTCCATCCATCCATCCATCCGTCCATCCATCCATCCATCCGTCCATCCATCCATCCATCCGTCCATCCATCCATCCATCCGTCCATCCATCCATCCATCCGTCCATCCATCCATCCATCCGTCCATCCATCCATCCATCCGTCCATCCATCCATCCATCCGTCCATCCATCCATCCATCCGTCCATCCATCCATCCATCCGTCCATCCATCCATCCATCCGTCCATCCATCCATCCATCCGTCCATCCATCCATCCATCCGTCCATCCATCCATCCATCCGTCCATCCATCCATCCATCCGTCCATCCATCCATCCATCCGTCCATCCATCCATCCATCCGTCCATCCATCCATCCATCCGTCCATCCATCCATCCATCCGTCCATCCATCCATCCATCCGTCCATCCATCCATCCATCCGTCCATCCATCCATCCATCCGTCCATCCATCCATCCATCCGTCCATCCATCCATCCATCCGTCCATCCATCCATCCATCCGTCCATCCATCCATCCATCCGTCCATCCATCCATCCATCCGTCCATCCATCCATCCATCCGTCCATCCATCCATCCATCCGTCCATCCATCCATCCATCCGTCCATCCATCCATCCATCCGTCCATCCATCCATCCATCCGTCCATCCATCCATCCATCCGTCCATCCATCCATCCATCCGTCCATCCATCCATCCATCCGTCCATCCATCCATCCATCCGTCCATCCATCCATCCATCCGTCCATCCATCCATCCATCCGTCCATCCATCCATCCATCCGTCCATCCATCCATCCATCCGTCCATCCATCCATCCATCCGTCCATCCATCCATCCATCCGTCCATCCATCCATCCATCCGTCCATCCATCCATCCATCCGTCCATCCATCCATCCATCCGTCCATCCATCCATCCATCCGTCCATCCATCCATCCATCCGTCCATCCATCCATCCATCCGTCCATCCATCCATCCATCCGTCCATCCATCCATCCATCCGTCCATCCATCCATCCATCCGTCCATCCATCCATCCATCCGTCCATCCATCCATCCATCCGTCCATCCATCCATCCATCCGTCCATCCATCCATCCATCCGTCCATCCATCCATCCATCCGTCCATCCATCCATCCATCCGTCCATCCATCCATCCATCCGTCCATCCATCCATCCATCCGTCCATCCATCCATCCATCCGTCCATCCATCCATCCATCCGTCCATCCATCCATCCATCCGTCCATCCATCCATCCATCCGTCCATCCATCCATCCATCCGTCCATCCATCCATCCATCCGTCCATCCATCCATCCATCCGTCCATCCATCCATCCATCCGTCCATCCATCCATCCATCCGTCCATCCATCCATCCATCCGTCCATCCATCCATCCATCCGTCCATCCATCCATCCATCCGTCCATCCATCCATCCATCCGTCCATCCATCCATCCATCCGTCCATCCATCCATCCATCCGTCCATCCATCCATCCATCCGTCCATCCATCCATCCATCCGTCCATCCATCCATCCATCCGTCCATCCATCCATCCATCCGTCCATCCATCCATCCATCCGTCCATCCATCCATCCATCCGTCCATCCATCCATCATCCATCCATGGCAGCTGAAGTCCTCCACCAGGAATGCCAGTCTTGCTCCTTTCATTAGCAGGAAATGGAACATTTCCACGAGATAATTAACTGCAATTCTGATGTTAATTGCAAGGAGAGGAGGAGAATTCCCCAGAGTTGCTCCAAGTCCTTCCAGCTGTGACTTGGGAGCGAACACGGTGACATCAGCCAGGATAAGCAGACTCGGAGTCTGCAGAAATAGTCCCAAACCATTCCAGGTGCTCCAGGATCAGACGGAGCTGTGGATTCCAAACAGAGCCCAGCCTGATGTGCCTCTGGAGAGAATGTGGCAGGAGCACTCCTGAATTTCTCCCTTTTCATGGGAACGCTGTCAGTGCCCGCAGGATGGGTCACCCAGGTGGTGCCAATCTTTGGAGGGCTCATCCCAACCTCTGGATGAGACTTTGGAGGTTCCTCCAATCCTGAAAAGCAGCACGGAGGAAGCAGCAAGCCGGGAGCTGGGAAAGGAGACGAGGAACAGTCGGCTTTCCCACAAAAACCGGGATGAACCCGTGGGACTGGGGTGTCCAGGCTCAGATCAGAACCTCCATCTTCTGGAGAGGAGCAGCTCTGCAGGAGCTGAGTGACCAGATAACCAGGGCTTTTCCAGCTCTGCTCCTCCAAACCTGCTGAGGAATGCCGGGAGCTCCAGCCCGGTCCCAGCTCATCCCCGACATCCTGGCATCGTGGGAATGAGTGGAGAAACACCAGGGACAGTTCCCAGCTGGGAGGACTTCTGGCCACCAACCATGAGCCACCAGGAGCAGCTGGAGCCGGAGTTTCCTGAGGTTCTCCACACTGGACAGAGCTGAATCAGAGCTCTGAACCTCTGAGGCTGGGCTGGATGAGGCTTGGAGCAACCTGGACTAGTGGAGGGTGTCCTTGACCATGGCAGGGGATGGAATGAGATTGAGCTCTGAGGTCCCTGAAACCACCCAGATTCTCCCCAAATACACCGTGAGCTGCCAAGTATCCCAAAAATCCATCCAGCAAGATTCCAGCAGGACAAACCTCTTCCAAGAGCCCTTCAAAGTCCCCAAAGACTCCAACCTCACGTGCAACAAAGCTACAGCGGGATCCCCGTGGATTTGTGATGCTCAAGCAGGAATAAAACATGGAAACAAGCAGGAATAAAACATGGAAACACTTTTCCTGGGAGGATCAGGACAAGGAGGAGAGGAGGGAACGAAGGGAAGGCAGCAGCAGCTGCACACTGGGTTATGAGGAGAGAGCAGAACACCAGAATAATTTAATTTTCCATCCAGCTGCACAGGACAAGGAGGAAAAAAGCCAAAGCCTGTTGCGTGCCTTCCCTCTGAGGGCAGAGCAGAGTGGGACATGCCTGGACACACCTGAGCTGTAGCTGTCTGTCGAGGACTGCGAGATGGAGCGGGACAGCGACCGGCGGCCGATCTTGGTCGGGCGCTTGTTGAACTCCTGCTTTTGGTCAGCAAACTGGATCTGTGGGAAGAAACCAGGGATTCTCTGTAAAAAACCCAGCAGAGCAATCCCAAGAACCCAAGGCCTTGAGCAGACACCGGCACCATCTCAGTCATGGCCTGGAGCACAATTCCTGTTAATTAATGGGGACTGGATATGGTAAATTGCCCATTTTGTTTAATTTCAGTCCTTCCAGCCAAGATTAGAGATGTCACTGTAGGCTGTTGAATTTTGGGAGCACAGATGGCCGGAGAACACAAGTTTTTATGAGTACACAACAGAATTACACCGGATCAGGAACACCCATGGGAAGGGAAAATCCACACCAAACTCAAGTTACAGCCAGGGCTGTGCCAGGATTAACGCCCTGATCCCGGCGGGACGGGGGCTTTGCACACACACCAGGGTTTATGGTCCTGCTCTAAGAAGCTGCTGGCCTGAAATAACTTCCCTTTTTTGTCCTTTTTCTTCCCTTAATTTAGAACAAATCCCTCCACAGCTGAGCAGCTCCATCACAGGAGGAGGTTATTGGCGTGAAGCAGAGCTGGAGACACACTGGGATTTAACAAAGGGGGAGTAATTTGGGTTAAATTCACATTTCCCTTCCCCACATCACCTTTTCAAGGACATAGAACACAACTTTTCACACAACGCAGTGATCTTGGGAATTCAGAGCTCCCTGAGCCCTCACACATCCAAAACCAAGTAAACGACGAAGCAAAACAAGTCCTGAATGAATCAGGCAGAATTAGAACCAGACTTAAATAAACCCTCTAAGGTTTAAACCCCTTAAACACAGCCACAAGCTGGGTTCAGCTTTAGCTGAGACAGCCAGGAGGTGGAAGGAAGCCCCAGGAAAGGGAAATTCGGGAAGGGGCCAGGTCAAGGCTCGGATCTGCTTTTGGCTTGCATTGGCCAATGCCCTTTGATTTTAATCCTTTAGGGAATAGAGAGAGTGGGCAAAAAGGGAATTTCACAGGGTCCCAGAATAGTTTGGGTTGGAAGGGACCTCAAGGATCATCCAGTTCCACAGAACACCTTCCCCTACCCCAGGCTGCTCCAATCCCTGCCAAACCCACAAAAGCCGCGTTCCAGCCCAGCTTGGAAGATGGGAATGTTCCAGACGGGAGGAAAAGAGAGATTTGGCTCAGTCAGCTCCCACCAAAACACCTCTGAAGGCAACAGCTTCAAGGAGAAGCTGTGCAGCCTTGGAGGGCTGCAGTTCCTTGGATTTAGGAGCCCAAGCTGCTCTGAAGGACACAAGAGCTGCTGCTTCCAGCTTCCAGCAGGAACAAGCGATTCCTGGGGAAAACCTCACCTGCAGGGACACAAGGGGTTCATGAGTGCTGAATGCAGGTGAGGTTTCACCTTTACATTCCAAATGAGCCACTGCTCATCTGACCTGGGGCTTCCATCACAAAGAGCCACCTTGAGCTACTTCTCTGTGCAAAAAAGGTCTGCTTATCCAAGGTTTTCCTGGGAAACTCACCTTCCAGCAGGAACAAGCGATTCCTGCTGGAAAACCTCACCTGCAGGGACACAAGGGGTTCATGAGTGCTGAATGCAGGTGAGGTTTCACCTTTACATTCCAAATGAGCCACTGCTCATCTGACCTGGGGCTTCCATCACAAAGAGCCACCTTGAGCTACTTCTCTGTGCAAAAAAGGTCTGCTTATCCAAGGTTTTCCTGGGAAACTTCCCTGTCCGACCCCACCAAGTTCTCCGGAGAGATGAACAACCCCAGACCAACGTGTTTGCCTCGACTCTTCATCGTTCCCAAGAGAAAATTAAGGGAAGCTCTCCAGAGATTGGGACTTTGTCCAAATGAGGAGCTCCAGGAATGGATTGGGTGGAAACAGCGAGGAGAGGAGGAAGAAGAGAGAGGCAACAGAGAAACAATCGCGCTTTTGAGTAGAAAAACCATCCTTACTGTCCCAAAGAGTGCCCTCACCTGGGCTTTCATCCCCGCTGAGTCCCCGTTGACGTTGTACTTCTTCTTGTTGGGCATGGTGACCCTCTGGCTGTCCCGGGCACGGCTCCCTCCGGAGCAGGGAATGCCCCATTTATACCCAGCCCATCCCATCCCACCCCGCTGGTCCTGCCCGCTCCGGTTTCACCGCCAGGGCAGGAGGCCAAGGGAACCCGTTGGATTTCCAGACTTGTTTTTTTGGCAGGACTTAATGAGGCGTCGCCAGGAACAATTCCTGCCTGTGTTTTGTGTGGAATTACAGCGCTCCTGACCCGCGGAGCTCCGCGGCAGTTTTGAACGTGGCCTGCCTGGTGTGTGCATAACAATGCCTTATTTATGTAAGCAGAACATTTCCCTGCTCGCTATAATTAACTCGCTAATTAAGCTCCTTTAACTCGGGTCCTCCCCTCCTCCCCGCTCTCCCTCTTTCCCCCCAATGTCAGATGATTGCGTTAACGGAGCCTCGTTAGAAGGAAATTAACTAATGAGCAACTAAAACAACAGGGGCGTTTGTTGGATGGCAAAGTGGTTTTCAATTATTATTATTTTAATTATCCCGCTCCTCGCTGTGTCCCCCATGGCAACCAGGGCAGAGTTTGTCCTTGGAAGGGTCCCGACTCCAACATCCATCCCTGTGTTGTTCCAGTCCTTTGGGAATTATGGAATCATGGAATGGTTTGGGTTGGAAGAACCTTAAATCCCATCCAGTTCCAGCCCACAGCTCCCACCATGCCTTGGACACTTCCAGGGATGGAGCACCATGGCTTCTCTGGGCAGGACCTCGAGGGGTTTTTATGGGAATTATCCCAGATAATAAATTATCAGGGATAGAACTCCTTGGATAACAACGCCAGCTGCTAAATGAGAATTAAAATTATTGTTCTGCATGGCATCTGCTCATTCCACAGCCTTTTAGGTGGGAAGAGATGATGCAAGGAAGAAAAAATGGGAAAAACGAGGGTGAGGAGCTTTAAGGGGCTTTGGTGGAGCTTTGAGGTCTCCTCCAACCCAACCCATCCCGTGATTCCATTCTGTGAGTCCAAGGAAAAGGGACCTGGGAAGCAGCAGGGCACCACTGATTGTCCTCAGCACCATTTCTGACTGAATATAGAATTAAAAAGCTCCCCCAGCCATGATTCTTTCTGTACACCAGATTTACACCAGGTTTACACCGGATTTACCCCAAATCAGATCTGATCCTGCTCCTCAGCAGTTGTCCTGAGGATGGAAAACTGTCAAGGAAAATTCCTTCCCCAAGATGTTCCTTCCATGGCATTTCCATCTCCAGGGCAGATGTCAAGGAATTCACTAAAAGAGCAAAAGTTCCTGAGCTATATGAAAGCAGCTCCTGGAGGAATTAATGGGGGAAAAAAGGAGGGAAAATCCCCCAGAATTCCTGAGTTGTACAATGACTGAAAAATGTGAAAAATGGAAATATAAATTATTTCCAATGTGGAAATATCTCAGGGAATGAGAATCTGCGATCAGCACTGCTTTTCTCACTTGACACTGCAGCCCAAGTTGTGTTTTCCAGGTAAATTTTTCATTTTCCACATTATCCTTGAGCCTTCTCCTGCAAAATCCCAAGGGACACTTGACTTCAGCTCAGTGTAAGTCAACTCAAAGTCTTTAAAGGGGGAAAAAACTCATTTTATGAGTAAAAACTCTTTTTCCTGCAGGTTCTCGCACCGAGTTACTTAAATCCAAAGGCTTTTCCTGGGAAAGAAACCCCTTTTTTTTTTCCTCAATGAAAGATGAGTTCAACACATTAAAATTAAGAACCAATATTCTATAAAAATGCTAAAAATGAAAGCTTTTGCTTCATCTCCACCCCAGAGCTCAGGAACCTTCTGTAATTTCTGTGTCAATCTGGGTCAGTCAAATAAAACCAGAGAGAACTGTGCTCAATCCCAGTAAATTGTTTTGTTCTGGGTGTCTTTAATTGATTCTTGGCCATGGATTCCTTTTTTTTTTTTAATTTTTTTTTTTTTGGCGGGGGGAGAAAACAAGTTTTCTGAGGGAATAAGCAGCACAAGCTCTCCAGCATTGCTGGAGCTTAATGGATTCCTTTTTTTAAATTTATGGTTTTTTTGGCGGGGGGAACAAAGAGAGAAAACAAGTTTTCTGAGGGAATAAGCAGCACAAGCTCTCCAGCATTGCTGGAGCTTCCAAATCCACCTGCAAAGAAGCTGGGAATTTAAATTTCTGCATGGAATGAGTGAAATGACATCACTTTATAGATGGAACAGCAGGACAAGGAGGTGGCCCTGAATAACTGCCACTGCTCGGTGACAAACTCCCTGGGAAGTCCTTTCCCAGTGGAAAAACACCTCATCCATCCATGATGCAGAGAGATAAAATCAATTAAATTTTTTTTTAAATAAAGGAGGGTGAAGATGGGTGAGAAACGACTTTGTGCTGTGACATGGGGGGACCAAGGTGATTGTCCTGATGTCCCACTCCCAACCTCATTCCCTGCTCCTGAAGGAGAAGTTATTTTCTTGCTGGAGCTGCCGGGGTGGATCCTTCACCTCCTGCTCCGGGTGACACCTGAGGGACGCTGGGGACACCGGTGTCAGCAGGAGCCTGCTCCCAACCCTCCACGTTGGGAATGAGCTCCAACCCTCAGCCTCACCTCTCCTCACCACCTCCAGGCCTGGACCACATCACTCCAGGAGAGGGATTGTCCCAGCCTGCTCGTTCTGGAGTTCCACATCCCCTAAATGCACGTGGGATCCTCCCTGAGCCAAACATTCACCAGAGCTCAAAGTGTCCAGATCCATCACACAGAGCTCAGCTCCAGGATTAACAAAGAGCTTTAACCCTCGTGTGGAAAACACCCTGCGAATGTGCAGGTTTAAAGCTGGTTTTAGCTTAGATTTAGTTTTAGATTTAAGAAAGAAAGAAAGAAAGGGAATGAGGATTCGCCCACCTGGGCCAAAGTGCTTTTCCAAGGGGGTTGGGAATTCTAACTATTGATCCTTGAAGGGATCTCCCTGATCCCCCAGGGTTTGGCTTTTCTATTTCCACATTCTGAGCTGCTTTGGGGTGTGGGTCTGGGCTCACGTTACGGGATGGGGAGCTCTGTGCACAGAGCAGGGAGACAAAACAATTCCTGCTGGGCTGGGCACCAAGGACAAATGATCCCAATGCCAGCCCAGGAGCACAAACCCCGTGGGCTGCAGAGAGAAAAACAAGGATGGGAGTGCAGGGGCTGCACTGGGGTTGGACACTGAACTGCAATGTGCACATGGAGCAGAGCTGAGCCCAGGGAGAGACCCCGGCAGCGCTCGTGCATTTTGGGCCCATTTGGGGTCATCTTGGGTTCATTTTGGGACCATTTGGGGTCATCCTGGGTGCAGCCCTGGCTGGGCTCTGGTGCTGCCCCAGGTGCACCCATGCAGGAGATCCTTTCCATCAATCCCTGCTTTATTCTGGAACTCTGCTCTAGGTCAGCCCTCACAGGGCATCAACTCCAGTGCTGGATCATGGAATGGTGGAATTTGGTTGGGAGGGACCTCAAAGCCCCTCCAGTGTCACCCCTGCCATGGCAGGGACACCTCCCACTGTCCCAGGGGACTCCAACGTCCAGCCTGGCCTTGGGCACTGCCAGGGACATCTGACAGAGAATCCCTTGGAATGGTGGGAGCAGGGAGGAGAAATCCTTTAAGGAAGAAAACAGCAAACCCCCAACCCAGGCACTTCCAGTGGGGACAACGGGAAGGACAAGGAAGAGAGGAATCTCCTCCCTCAGCAGCAGAACGGGTCCCCTGGGCCATCCCAGCTCTGTCGGTCACAACCCCACAAAAAGCAGGAAAAAGAGGAAATTGCCAATTCCACATTGCCTCAGCTTGCAATGAACAGGCCATGGGTGTTTTGTTATTTGCAAATGTGGGATCTCAGCAGCTGGAGCTGGAAAATCCCTGCGGAGTCACTGCCTGCCAGGACACCCCATCCTGAGCCACAGGGACCCCGCAGGATCCTTCCACGGCTGCTGAGGGTGCTCAGGAGGTCCAGCCGGGATCCTGGGGAAATTCCTTCAAGGAAAAGGCTCCCAAGGAGGTCTGGAGTCCCCAGGCCTGGAGGGATTTCAGAGCCGTGTGGATGTGGCACTTGGGGACATGGGGCAGTGCTGGGGATGCTTGGACTCCGTGGGCTCAGAGGGATTTTCCAGCCTCAGGGGTTCTGTGATTCCATCAGAGTCCCAAAATATGGGAGAACCCACATTTTAAGTTATTTTCCCAAGAAACAATACAAAGGAGTTACTATTATTATTATTATTATTATTATTATTATTATTATTATTATTATTATTGTTGTTGTTGTTGTTGTTATTATTATTATTATTATTTTATTAACATCATCATCGTCATAATTGTTGTTGTTATTATTATTATTATTATTTTATTAACATCATCATCGTCGTAATTGTTGTTGTTATTATTATTGTTGTTGTTGTTGTTATTCACTAATATAATTTCCCAACATTTGGTTAATACCAAGAGATGGACATAAAACCAGGGCCTCAGCAAGAACATTAAGACCTAAAAGACTCCTTGAAACAATGACCTTAAAGATAATGAGCAATTTCGAGCTCGGGCTAATTATTTCTCGAGATGTGGCTGCTCCCTCCCACGCTGACCCGAGGAACCACATAAAATGCAAATGAGCCGAGTTAAAATCCTGATTAAAAACGTCGCTGCAGGACATGACCCTTTGGAGCCCTTTGGAGATGGATTTGATGCCACAGCAGCTTTAAACCATCCATGAAATCATAAAACCGTGCTGGAAAATGAAATTATTGAAGCAATAAGAATGAAAAAAGTCTATTTAAATAAAGTTTTTGTCATGTGACCCTGATCCCAGAAGCACTGAATCCATAATGGAAAAATTAGAGGGAGAGGTTTTGTTTTTAAGGAAAACTCCACATTTTTACAAAGAAAAATCCACGTTTGAGACCATAAATGAAGTTGTCAATGATGTGAAGTTTGTCACTGATAACCCTAAAATGCAAAATTCCTTCCTGATTGTTGATAAAAATATGTTAAAATTTGGGGGGAGGCTGAAAGAACTGTCACAAAAAA